AAACATCATCTTGTACCTAGAAGGCATGGTGTAGTTGTTCTTCCGCAGGTGATGTGAGCCTTCAACATTAAGGACTCATTCTTTCACATCACAAGCCTTCTTCTCGGAATTATTCTCCTCGCTTTTTATATAGCATTACGCCTTTGCGAGCACCTTAGCTAATGAACATGTTGGCCTTTGGGCGAGGGACTCATTAAAGTGCCATACTTTTAGGAAATTTTGAAATGCCCCTGCAAACATTTCCTGGTTCGGGTGGACGACTTTTATCGTGCCCTCGTTAAAATAGGTGAGGTATTCTCTCAGTAACTTTAAGGGCCCTTGTCGAATATTAAAAAGGCTGGTGGTGGACATCTTTTTATGTCGACTCACTACGAATTGGTGCACAAGTTTCTTTTCTAGATCTTGGTAATTGGCGACGGAGATTCGGGGTAGACACATGTACCATCGTAAGACTGCACTTGTGAAAGTGCCAGACAAAAGCTTGCACTTCAGAAAATTAGATGCTTGGATGATGGTCATCTATGTGTTGATGGAGGTGACATGCTTGTAAATGTATCTACGCCCGTCGAGCTTTGCTAAGGAGAGAGCCTTGAAACCTTCAGAGAAATGTGTTTCCTATATCTCGTGTGAGAGGGGTTGTGAATCCAACGTTTCTTCCTTTTCTATGGGGTAACCTTCTACTAGTGCTATTAAATGTTAAAGATGTTATCCTTCAAAGTTTGGTTTTAACGATGCAACTTGTCCCTGGCGGTGCGCATCTCTTCCATAACATTAAAATCACTGCTACCTTAAGTATCCTCATGTGTGGGAGATTGTGCCCTCCTAGCAACCATGATTGAGGACACTTATGACTAGGAGTGAAGACTTTGGCGAGTGTCAAAGTGGCAGTGATAATAGAAGGTGTGGCCTAGGTTAATTCTACTAGGTCCTCACAGTAACAACATATTTTGCCTCAATTTTGGATATAACTACACTTGCTTGTTTCTTGCTTTGTTAGGAGACAAGCGAGTTATTAAGTAAGTGACACACGTCGCTTCTAATTTTCTGATATAATTTGCTCCAAACAAAATTAGAGTCAGAGTACTCAATTAAGACGCCATACATTCCTTTGGGTACCATAAAACCATTAGTGGTGTACTAGTGAGATATCTCATGATGTGCTTAATCTTAGTGATATGTGATTCTTTGGGGTTTGCTTAAAAGCGGGATATAAAGACACACAACAAACACGATATCATGAAAAAATGCATTGAGATAAATGAGAGAACTAATCATACCTCGATACTTGCCTTCTTCAATTGGATTTCATACATGAAGTACTCATCAGAGTGGAGATAGCCTTTGTTTTGTTCATGTTGAATCTCCCAAGTAGTTATTTAGATTATCTTGCTTGACTAATGAATGTATCTTATATAGATTGATGAATTTGAAGACCTAAAATATATCGAGGCTCCCATATCATTGATATCTCGAGGTTATTCGGCGTCATGTCGAAAAATTCCTTACATAAAAACTCATTAGTATTATGAAATATTATGTCATCACTATAAATTTGAACTGATAAGATGTCACACTTAATCTTTTTTAGTAAAATGAGTTTTTATCAACCTTCCCTGTATAAATTACATTTGCAATGAGAAGGGAGTACTATAAGCAATTTTTTATGCATAAAAATCTAAATACTAAATAAAGATAAAGATGTGAATGTGATTATTCAAAAGAGGTAGTAAATATGTTTTATCTTTTAATTTTTTAAAAAAATATTTTTTAAAATTTTAAAATTGCAAATAGTTTATATAAAAAATTATTTAAAATATATTCAAATTTAAATAATTTTTTAAAATTTTGATATAAAAAAAGTTAGTGTAAAATGATGAAATATATTGATAAAAATTTAATTGAAATATGTCAATTAATTATAGCGATCGAATGTTCAGAAGAATTTGATTTTTATTTTAAATGCTTATAAGCCAGACGGACGATGATAATAACTCGACCATGCAAAAGTTTTTACACTCATATTATACTAATTATTCTCTATTTATAAATCAATTTTTTCATTTTAATCGTTTTTATTACATTATAAAATCATTTAAAGAAAACGGGGTAGAAAAAAATGTGCAAAGGTTACAAATCCCTTTTTCGCTGAGACCGGTGTTCAGCACAGCGCAAATTTGCCATCGGAAAAACCTCTCTCATTTTCTGCTTCATCCAGGTAATCACTTTCTCTTCTTTTTCCCAATTTATAGCTTTGTTACTGTTTATGTGAATATTATCACTCCACAAATGAATAAATCTTCACGTGACTCTCTATGATTCAATTTTCTTTTTTTCTTTTTTTTTTTCCTTCATGTTTGTTTCCTATAATTGTGGTGTAGTTTGTGAACAAGCAATGCAAATTTTATACTAGCACTGTCAAGCCATGATCATTTTGTTTGTTAGCAAATTCAAATATAGATATAGGTATAATTCGAGTTTGATTCCAACAGCCCGAAGTTTAGGTATCTTAATATTGTATCAAATCAAAGAAGATAATGCATTTTCTTGGAATGATACAATTAGGGGTTATATGAAGAGTGGAGACATAGGACGAGGTTTTATGTTGTCCAGAAGAATCTTGCAAGGTGGTATGTTGAACCGGATAATCATACTTACCGGTTGTCATTTGGTATATTTGGGCTTGTGTTGAAGTTTGGGTTTGAATGTGATATATTTGTTCATAGTACGTCCATCATTATGCTACTCTCGTCTGGAGAGTTGGGTTCGGCGTATGATGTGTTGAATAAAATTCGGGTGAGAGACCTGGTAACATGGAATTCGATGATTACTGGATGTGTTAAAAGGGGACTGGTAAATGAGGCTATAAAAATCTATCGGGAAATGGAGGCAAATAGAGCAAAACCAATGAGATTACAATGATTGGGATTACAATGATTGGGATGATTTCTTCTTGTTCTCAGTTGCAGAATTTGAATCTTGGCAGAAAGTTACATTGTTACATCAAAGAATACGATCTCGAGTTGACAATTACACTCACTATTGCACTTATTGACATGTATGTGAAGTGCGGGGAATTGTTGGCTGCGCAAGCTCTAATTGATAACATGGCACATAAGGCCCTTGTTTCATGGACTACAATGGTTTTGGGGTATGCCAAATTCAGTATGCTAGATGTTGCTCGGGAGATTTAATATAAAATTCCAGAAAAGAGTGTTGTGTTGTGAAATGCTATCATGGATGGATGTGTCCAGGCCATGCATAGTAAAGAGGCACTGACTTTATTCCATGAAATGCAAATTAGTATGGTAGAACCCGATAAAGTGACCATGGTTAACTGCCTGTCTGCATGTTCACAACTAGGAGCACTTGATGTTGGAATACAGATTCACCACTATATTGAAAGACATGGTTTTTCTCTAGACATTGCCTTAGGAACTGCACTAGTCGACATGTATGCCTTAGGAACTGGACTAGTCGACATGTATGCCTTAGGAACTGCACTAGTCGACATGTATGCCTTAGGAACTGCAGTCGACATGTTTTCAAAGAGATTCCTCAAAGAATTTGTTTGACATGGACAAACATCATTTGTTGCTTAGCACTTCATGGGATTGCTCAGTTTGCTAGATCCTATTTCGCGAAAATGATTAATGTTGGAATAATGCCGACGAGACCACCTTTCTTGGTGTGTCATCAGCTTGTTGTCATAGAGGTTTAGTTGAAGAAGGCTGCAAATACTTTTCTGAAATGAGCTCTAAATTCAATATATCCCCTAAGCTTAAACACTACTCATGCATGGTGGACATTTTAGGAAGAGCTTGTCATTTGGAGGAAGCAGAAAAACTCGTTAAAAATATGCCAATGCCAGCAGACGCTGCTGTATTGAGTTTTAAGCTTCTTGAGGTTGATCTTCATGATAATAGACACCATGTTTGGCTTGCTAGCATGTAGAGTGAAGCAAAAATGTGGAAGGAGGCAAGGAGTGCAAGGATAATAGTGAAGGAGAGATGAGTAGAGAAGACTCCGGTTGCAGCTTAGTTGAGATTAATGGCTTATGGCATTGTGCATGGATTTGTGGTGAGGGATGCATCACATCCATAGTCTGAAGGGAGCTATGAATGTCTGGTTTTTCTGACAAAACAACTGGAACTTCTCAAACTTATCGATGTTCCGGTTTATGGAGATAATCACCTTTCGTAAACTTGTCAGAATGTTTGCAATGTCTCTGCTCATTTAATTTTAATTTTCTTTCCCTGGAAATTCTGGAGCTAGTTTTCTCATTTTGTTGTCGAGGTATTTGCCATAGAAAATGTATGAATATAACATGAAGCCCTGTCTCTCCAACCCTGCAATCTTTCAATCTTCTTTTTGTCATTTTATACCTCTTTATAGTTTTTCAGTACAGAAAAATGTATATTGATTATTATATGTGGCCATACTTCAGTGTCTTAGTTGAAAAATGCAGTTTTTCTCTGCTCATTGCCAAATTTCTCTTGATTAAGGTGCTACATGATTTCGATATTCTTTTCTCCTGTACGAGTGTCACTATGCATTGGAGTTTCGATGAACACTCAAGTTTCCTGGTTGCTGCATCATTTCAAAGACTTCTGTTTTCCATTTTCCTAAATAGTGTCAATTTCTTTGTGTTCTTTCTCTCCCTGTGCCGGAAGCTACATGGGTTCTGCTCTTCCTTTTCTTTTGTTCAGAATTCTACTTTAATTAAGTTGGTTATCATAGAGCAAAAAATGAAAATGTGGAATATTCAATGTCTGTAGAGATTAAACAGCACGTGTTATATGAATTGTAATTCCATTTGCAATTCAAATAGTTTGTTTTTTCCAATTTACATACTGCTTAAGATGCCAATGTCTCTTGGTTTTTCACATTGATTATATACAGTTTCAGCAGGATATCACGTTAAGCCAAAGTGTTTCCTTTTGGATTTACATATTAACACGTATGCTCATTTTCAGGTTTTGGTCTTCTATTATTGTATAACGATGGAGCCTGGAAAATTTGACCCAAGATACTCGGGAGAGTTGTTGAAGTACACCTATTATATATATTTTTTTGTATTTTTCATAATGTGATTTATCTGCTGTGAGCTGTTTTTTATATTGCTTTCTATTCTATGTTTTTGGTGAACAGGCATATGGATAAGCAGAATGAGGTCCTTATGGAAACATACAGATCAATGTTGCATGAATTGCAAAAACTCCAGGTTGTTATATTTCCCATGCATACACAATCCCTTTCTTGGGTATTTGGATTTGTAGCCTTACATCACTGGCTTTGTATGTTTTGCTTTACTCTCTATGTTGTCCTATCAATTTAGGAAACTGCTAGCTGTTGCATCAAGAAAATGGGGCTGACACTTTTAAGAGAGAAAAATGATATATTTAGAATGTGATATTAATTCATGATTGAAAATTCAACATCTCATGATTTTGGCTCATTTGATATCAATCTTTTGAAATATTATACTCCCGCACATTGTGATTTATCAGCTCTGTCTGATTTTTCTTATGTTCAAGATTGATATATAAGCGGTTCCTTTATCTTTGCAATATAATTATAAGCTAGTGGTGAATTTTATTGTTCCATGAATCTAGACCATATCATTACAGCCGCTTGCAGCAAATGAGTTTCCTGTTTTGATTCATCATCTAGTTGTCTGATATATCTTCTATATGATATGTTTATGGGACATTTTAACATATGATTATGACTTCATATCTTTCACTTGCCTTAGTTACTGGTATGTTTACTCAAAATATGCTGAGGGGAGAACTTATAAAAATTGGTTGTTTTTTTAGCTCTATCTCTAAGCTGACTCATACTCTTGAATTAGCTCTAATTAGAGTCAAAATTTTCTTCAGTGATTATTATTTTGAACTGGTAAATCACATGACACCTTCAAAAACTTGAATCCCCTAAATTTTGGAGTTCTGTTTTTCAGGTGGAAGAAGAGATGATTATGCGCAAGCTTTATGAAGTAATGTCCGCCCATGGTCTCACTAAACAGGTTAAGGTTTATCTGCTTTATTTCGAATTCTCAGTAGCCAACCTATGTATATGATATTCCCAACATTTATCCAAAGGATTGAACTAATATTCGTGTTAACCTTTTTGGGTTCTAGTTATTGATGATGCTACTCTTGACGATTTTTTGTGCAGAATGAAGACAACTCCAACGCCTCTCACAACACTGCAGAAGCTGAACAAATCAATAATGAAGTCAATACAACACATGAGAATCAGTAAGGACAATTCTGCAAGAATCATAAAATTTTCATCTTCAGTGGATCAATATTAAAGAGATATTGGCTAAGGAGGTAATTGATCTTCTATGTGTTGACACTGGAACCAAATGCCTATGTTTAAAGGATGAATGTGTGTATTTAGTGCACTTTATATACACTATTAGATGCTCTGTTGACCGAAATGGACTTGCAGCTAAGAGCCTCATTTTAGGGGCACTAATTTTTTAGTTATTTGTATATTATGTATAAACTATAATATATTTAAATATTTAGAGAGCTGCTGATTTTTTTTAAGTATTAGCAATGTATTTGAGAGTTTGCAAAAGGGTCTTTTAAATTTTTCACACGTGTGAAAAGAAATGGAAGAAATGAAAAGATGATATATAAAAAGAATATATTCTATAATTTTCTCTTCTATTTCGCCCTTAAAATTTAAAGTATACAACATGAAATTTAGCCTTTTTAATTGTTAACTCCAACTATTTTATTTTAATTCTCTCTGTGTTTTTTGATCAAGAGTAAAACTAAATTAAAAATATTCAAAACAATAAAATAGAAACTCTATTTTATTTCATTCTATTTAGATTCACCAACTTTATTTCCACTCTGATGTTTTAAAATATACAAAATACCTGAAAATCAATATTATAATAGGTGTATATAAAATAAATAATATAAGCCTTTTCGACTCTAAATAACATGGCCAACTAAAACTAAATAATAAAAATTAGGAAGATAATTATGTACATCGACACCTTATCTAAACTCTTTTATGATATATTTCTTTTCTTACTCAAATATGACACTATTAATATATACATTATTACTATATTTAGTATCTGTTTGATATTGAGCTTAATTGAATCTAATCACATAAAAAAAACCACACGCTTTTTGAATTGACTACTGCTGTTTGGTATGGATTATCCGCTCGATAGTAAAAATTTATTTGAACTGAATTGAACCATTTTAATTTATTTGTAATAATTAATTTGATAAACTCTTTTGAAATTTCGAATGGTGTCAAATTATTAAAAGTTAATTATTTTCAAAAAATTGAACTGTTAAACTAATTTAAAAATAATTAAAACATATTTTTAATATTTTTTATTTTTAATTTTGGGGCTGGTTTGATTACAATTTTGATTTGATTCGGTTTTAGTTTTGATTTGATTCTAAAATTCTTTGTGCAATATGATTTAATTCACTAACCAAATATACCGGTTCAATTATTTTAATTTAAATTCGGTTCAATTCAACAATTTCGTTCAATTTATGTTTTTTTATCAGCAGCCCTAATATTGACAATTGAAATGGCAATATAGATACTAGGTACACTTAAAACAAGAAGATTTAATTATAATTTTGTTTTTTTAATTCTCCTATTTTATCTAATTCAAGAAATTGATCTCTATATTTTAAATTTAAATAGTTTTGATCTCTGTATTTTAAATTTAATTAATTTTAGTCTCTTTCATACTTTTTAGTTTAAAATTAACGATATTTTCATTTTTTAAATGATAAATTAATTGTAAAATATGATAAATTATTATATATAAATATATTGTTGAACAAACAAATAAAAATATAAATTAAAAGACGAATATCTTATCAACTTTTATAATAAAATATAAGAGAAGGATTAAAACTAATTAAATTTTAAATAGAAGAATTAAAATTATTTAAATTTAAAATATAAGAACTAATTTCATAAATCAAACAAATTTGAGAAAGTAAAAATGTAATTTAGCCAAATAGATAAAAAGTAGTCAATTGTTTTATCTAAACAAAATGAAGAAGAAAAAGCTAAATTAGTTAATAATGAATTAAAGGAAAATATTTCTAATACTTGTATTGACATTTCTACATATAAAACTTTTTTTGACCTTTCCCTCTCTAAGATCCTAAAATAGAAGGATTAACATTAACCAAAACATTGATCTAATATAATATTATGGATCTTAATTTGAAAAAGCAATAAATTTATATCCCAATTCACAACGTTTATCTTCTCTACCAAACAAAATTAGATATAGTTTTGTTCACATACTTAAGCAACTAGATTAACTCTATCATAGAAGAATGTGGGGACAATAAGTTAAAGAAACGTTGACTAATCAACATGTATGTATCAGATAGGACATTGTAAGAGTGGGGCACATGTATTATGAGTATGATGATCATAAGGTTAGTCAATTTTCCTAAATTGTGTAATCAGAGTTGTTAGCATTAATGAAAATGATAAAATGAGTGGTTCCAAACAAGGCGTAAGGATGAATTTGGCGTAGTCAGATTAATGAATATGTTATATTATGGATTTAGGTAGAAAGTCAATGCCAAAAATTAAAAAGATATAATTTCGAACGCATTAAATGGTCAGTTAACATTAAAACATTTTGGATATATATTTTAAAATATTTTAGAGCTTAAATTATGTTAGACCCTTCTCCTTTTTTATTTCTCATTTTCTTCAAAACTAATCTTCAAATCAACTCAAAACTAAATCATTAAAGCTTAAAAGAACTTCAATCATCATCTCTAACATCTGAAACAACATCTGAACATCAAATTCTTGTAAGTTTTTTGAGTTTTCGATAAATTTTTGAGTTTTTGTGTAAATGAGTAGAAATCAATGATTAAAGTTAGAAATGAGTAGAAATAACATTTAAAATAGTTTAGACATATTGTATTAGATGTTTGTTAGCTGCAAATAATGATAAAAACAATTTTTTTTGAGATTGCATGGGGTACATTGACACCATTGACATAACTTCTGAGTTGCAGGAAATTTCTGAGACGCATCTTTGAAATTTTTCAGCATTTCAGTTTCCCAGATTCCGGAGATGCATCTTCGAAATTTTCTGCAGTATTTTTTATTTTCTTGCTTGTGTGTTGTTTGTCTGCACTAATGGTCTGCCTTACTTTAACTTATAGGCATAATGACTGATAGACAGGATAGACAGAGGCAATGGAGGGTTGCTCAGCACGCATCAGTGTGGTAGGAGAAGAGTCAATAGGTTATGGAGGCTCTAGTCCCTCTGGTCAGGAAAAGTCATATACATATGGGGCTCATGCGTCTCCTAAATCCACTTCATCTTCTTCTTCCCGTAGGAGACAAGATTTTCCATATGACGCATCACTTTCTCCATCCTCCGACAAGCATCAGGTTTCACCAGTGACAGCTCCTACCGTATATGCTACTGATTCAGTCCCACCTTCTACTGCTGATGCGTCCGGAGGGTGAGGCTGTTGCGGATACTGAGCCAGAGGAATCTGGAGGAGGCCTAGTTGATTTGGCATTACTGCCTCTGTATCCATACCATATTGCTAGTCATATCTGGGACGGAAAGGTAACATTAGTTGGATTCATTATTTTTTTATGTTAATTTTAATTGACAAATTTCTGACATTGATTATTTTTTTCCAGGAGCGTGATCCGCAGAAGTTTCTTGACCACAGAAGGAAGATTGTTGTCTTGCCTCATCAGTCAGTTTTTTTCTTATCTGGTCTGAAGTACTTGTGCATGATCGATTATACTACGATCAACCACTTTCTGGAGTGCTTGGAGGTTCAAGGATTCATATTGCAACAAGCTGCTTCAATCCATGTCCATTTTCTAGAATAACTTGGAGTACATGATGTCATAGAAACTGCCTTCGCCAATGAGGATCTGAGACATATAAAAATTCCCAACTGTGGCGATGATCATTAGGGGAAAAATATCATTTAGAATACCTTCTAATTTTTTTAAGTCACAAAATCTTAGCATAAGACGGTCAATTTTTTTTACCGACGTGCTTTAATTCTTGCGGTAAACAGCCATCATATCTGCGATCTTTCTCTTCATTGTTCCTTTGGAGGGGAGATTTTCCTGAGGTTCCCCTCATATGATGGCAGCCATGTAGAGGCATTTTCTTTTATTGGCCTCCTTGTTCTCCTTGTTTGTCCCAACTGTGGTGGTCTTTGATGGGGATTTACCCTTAAAAGACTCTTCTCTATCTAGCTTGCCTCCCTTCACGTATATAGTCAGCTGACCTTTCTTTATCATCTCTTTGATGACATTCTTTAGCTGGATGCAGTAATCAGTGTTGTGGTTATGGCTTTTATGAAATTGGGAGTATTTTGATCTGTCAGACTGGGATATCTCTCTGACGGGATAAGGGGGTCATATTCCTTCCTTCCAAAATTCAGTGTTCACACATTCTAGATAGATCCTCTCATAAGAGACCGTCAGTAGGGTATATCAGTCATACTTTCCTTGCATGTTTCAGTCAAAGTCATCCATACATTGGTGAGGCTTTTTCCCGGATGGGCAATCAGAATGAGAATCATTAGATGTAGGATTATCAAAACGCATGGTCAATTTCTCTTCCAAAGTCATATAATTTTTTCCATGGTCAACATCTCTTGGACGAATTTGACATTTGTCTTCCCTAGCTTTTTCCTAAAAGGATGGTCGCTCATAAGGTCATTCTCAAAAATCTAACACTGAAGGCCTTATTGAGCTTCACCTACCTCAATTGAGACTTGTGTAAACCGATTGATATACGACCATAAGCTTTATTTCTTCCTTTTAACAATCCCAATTAGAACGACCTCGATGATAGGATGTCGCTTCCAGGTCATGAATTGCGCCTAAAACCTCTTACAAAATTCCTCTCAAGAATCAATACATCCATCAGGTAGGTCGTTAAATCATAGCCGATATGGTGTGACCAAGTTTAGCGCAAAAAAATTGCACTTCGAGGCATTGTCAATGCCGAAGAAACTCAATTGTTCGTCTACAAGTCACATATGTTCATCGAGGTCTCCCTTTCCATCATAATCAGTTAGTTTGGCCGGTTTTTCCAAAGAACTTAGGATCTTACTTTCCAAGATTTGTATCGACATCGAGTGCTTTGGCTGCACCTTATCCGAGTGAATTTATGCTTGAATCGAGTTTGGAGCATAATTGCACTAGTTTCCTCCGGGGCTCAGAGGAGTAGTATGATGTTTCTTACT